AGGGTTCAGGGTTTTAGGGGTTGGGGTTTAGGGTTTAGGGTTTGGGGTTTCGGGTTCGGCAAAACGCAGGGACCTTTTGCAGTGCTGCTGTCACCTAAACCCAAACCCTAACTCTAACCCTAAACCCTAAACCCTTAACCCTAAACCCTGAAGCTCCGCGGTGATTTTTATAGCGACGAACTGGTCTTCGCCTTTTTGCGTGTCGCTCTCCCGTCGCCTTGCGCCGGAGGCGCAAACGTGAACCCTAAACCCTAAACCCTAAACCCTAAACCCTAAACCCTAAACCCTGTTTCGGCGTTTCAGGGTCTCGTTTCGGGGCGTTCATTCGGGAAGAAGTGGAGGGTTTGCAGGTGGCGCTGAAGACGGTGCAGGAAACCCTAGATGAGTGGTTGCTGCTGCAGAGCAGCTGCTTGTCTTTAAGTGCTGTTTTTGCTTCTCCAGAAACCCGCAAACAGCTGCCACCGGAAGCAGCAAAGTTTGCTGCTGCTGCTGCAGCGTGGAAAACCCTCTGCAGCGAGCTTGCTGCTAACAACTCCTGCCTCCCTGCATGCACCAAAGAGGGCCGCCTCCAAACCCTCAAAACCCTCAACCAAACCCTCGACGAGGTCAAACGCGGCCTCGAAGACTACCTCCAGGCAAACCCTAAACCCTAAACCCTAAACCCTCGGCTTCAGGCGCTAGGCCCTCCTCAAAGCGCCGAGCCGTGACCCTGGCGTGACAAACCCTAAACCCTAAACCCTCAGCCGCGAAGCCGAAACGCCAGACTCCAGGCCCTGTACCCTCGAACCCTAAACCCTAAACCCTAGAAAAGGGTTTTGGGGCTGCTGCTCCCTCAGCAGCTCGTTCGAGGGAAGCCAGGCGCGTGAGAGCGCGCGGCCGCGTTTGCCGCTGCGCGGTCCAAGGGCCTCGGGCGTGGGGCCTAGGGTTTAGGGTTTAGGGTTTAGGGTTTAGGGTTTGCGCAGAGCAAGCGGGAGGCGTTTCCGAGACTCTACTTTCTCTCCAATCGAGAACTCCTCGAACTCACCAGCAGCAGCCGCCAGTTTGCTGCTGTCGAAACAATTGTTCAAAAGTGTTTTGGAGGCCTTCGCGGACTTTGGCAAGAAGGCGATTTGAGAAACCCCGACGTCGCCGGTACTCAAACCCTAACCCTAAACCCTAAACCCTTAACCCTATGCCTCGGCCCGTGAGGAAGTCACGCGGGATGCTGGGAACCAGCAGCGCTCCACGCGCCGCAGACACAAACCTCCAGCCCAAACCCTAAACCCTAAACCCTAAACCCTAAACCCTAAACCCAAAACCCTAAGCCGTAAACCCTAATTTGGGGTTTGCGGGCAGGAATGGTGTCTGGCGAGGGGGAGCGGGTGGCGTTTTACAAGGCGTTCAAGCTGCGAGGTCCAGTGGAGAAGTGGTTGCAAGATTTGGAAATGACAATGAAGAAAACCCTTTTTAAAATAATTAAAAGCAAACGCGCTGAGGTGTACAGACAGCTCAGCAAAGACTGGATCTTCCAAACCCCCGCACAGGTGTCTTCCTGCCTCCACCAAATCTTCTGGACCCTCGAGGTCGAAGACGCCCTCCAAAGTAAACCCTAAACCCTAAACCCTAAACCCTAAACCCTAAACCCTAAGCCGTTGGCGTTCCACGTCGTGGAGCAGGAGAAAGCGGCATCCGCTGCTTGTGCGTCGCAGCCTGGGGGCTACGGTTTAGGGTCTGGGTTTGAGTGGGGGGTGGCTAGGGTTTAGGGTTTAGGGTTTAGGGTTTGGGCGCAGGCGGCGGGGGCCAGCTGGGGCTGGTGGTTTCGCAGCAGCAGCAGCTGCTGCAGCAGCTAACTGAACTCATTCGCCTTCCTTTGTCTTCTTTAGAAAGATTAATTGTTTCGGGTTTGGCAATTCAAGTGCTGCACAACAGAGACGCAGCAGCAACCCTTCTCCACCTCAACGCAGAAGACCCCGACGCGTCCGCGAGGGTTTAGGGTTTAGGGTTTAGGGTTTAGGGTTTAGGGTTTGGGGTTTGGGGCTTGGGGTGGCCGCGGCGCCCGCCGCCAGCGCCACTCGCCCAGGGTCCGGCTTTGCGGGCGAGGGTTTAGTGTTTCCGCAAGAGGAGCCAGCAAAGCAGCTGCAACTCAGCTTCTAGGGTCTAGGGTTTAGGGTTTAGGGTTTAGGGTTTAGGGTCTAGGGTCTAGGCTTTAGGGTCTAGGGTTTGGAGGTTCCTGTGGACCTAGCGGCGTTGTCCGAGACGGGAGCTTTGGAGACCCAGCAGCAGCAGGCCCCTCAGCGTCGCGCCGAGGGTTTAAGGTTTAGGGTTTAGGGTTTAGGGTTTTTGTTTAGGTTTGACTGGCAGAAGCAACTGCGGCACTACTGGGACCCCGACAAAGAGCTGCTGCTGCTGCAGCAGCTCTCTGCTGCCTTCGATTATGGCTATGAATATTTGGGGGCCCCACAGCGGCTAGTAATAACCCCTTTGACCGATAGATGCTGGCTCACCATCACCAGTAAACCCTAAACCCTAAACCCTAAACCCTAAACCCTAAACCCTGGGCCGTAAGCGGTAAGCCGTGGGTTTGGACTCGCGAGGGGTCACGCAGTTCGAGTGTTGAGGCTCAGTAGTGATCTGCAGGCTTTCTAACGCGAAACCCTAAACCCTAGACACAGCAAACCCTAAACCCTAGGAACCCCAAACCCTAGAGATGCTAAGCCGTAGAGACCCTAAACCCTAGAAGCTGTAAACCCTAAACCCTCGCTATTAGTGATGGCGCGCATCGACGAGTGCGTTGGGGAGAAACCCGAAGTCCACACGCTTTCTTCCGAAGCCTAAGCCCTAAACCCTTTTTAAGGGTTTGTGCGCGCAGCGGCCCTGAAGGAGCTGTGCCTCAACAGCAGCGTGGCGGGGCCCGCGGGCTCTGGAAAAACAGAAACTGTAAAAGAACTTTCGAAAGTTTTGGGATTATTTTGTGTTACTTTAAACTGTTCGGATTCCGTGGACTTGTACGTTTTGGACAAGGTTTTCGCCGGTGCGCCAAACCCTAAACCCTAAACCCTAAACCCTAAAACCCTTGGCCGCGCGCGCAGCGGCCTCTGCCCAGACGCGCTGCAGCCTGCGGCGCAGCGCCCGTGGCTGCTGCCGCCCCCGGGGGGGGGGGGG